TACACTTGTCTTCCTAATATCCTGATTTCTTTTTTTTCCCCTCGCCTTTGGTGAGGCAATTGGGGTTAAGTAACTTGCCTAGGCTCACACAGCTCCTAAGTATCATGTATCTGAGGCCTGATTTGAACTCAAGTCCTGTGACTCCAGGGCTGGTGCTCTATCTACTGCACCACCTAGCTGCCCCCCTAATATTCCTATTTCTGTTAAGGGCTCCACTATCCTTCCAGATACTCAGGTTCATAACCTCAGAGTCATCCATTAATCTTCCCTCTTCTTCTCCCCTTGAAACCAATCAGTTGCCAAGTTTTGTCCATTCTACCTCTACAACATCTCTCCCACCCATCTCCTTTTCTCTATTCACATGGCAATCATTATAGTTCAAGCTCTCATCACCACTTGCCTGAACTACTGCAAACACTACCTAATTGGTCTCCCAGCTTCCACTTTCTTTCTACTCTAATCCATCCTCCACACAATGCCATATAGATATTCCTAAAGCACAGGTCTAACAATGTCACTCCCCTACTCAAGTGGCTTCTACTTGTTTCTCAGATAAAAAAGAAACTCCTTTGATAGGCTGGCATTTCCAGTCCTTTCCAGTCTGTCACCTTTCCAAGGTATTGCACATTACTCAAGCATTCTATGTTCCAGCCAAACTGGCATAATTTCTGTTTCCATAGATAACATCCATCTCTTGCTTCCCTTCCTCTGCTCAAGCTGTGCCCCACACCTCGGATGTACTACTCTCTCTTTACCTCAGCCCCTTAGAATCTAATTTCTTTCATACCTCACATTAAATGGAACCTCCTATAGGAGGCCAACCCATTATTCTCCCCTGCCCAGTTGTTAGTGTGCTCCCCCTTAAATTAGTAATACAATGGGCTCAATAAAGTCATCTTTAGAAAGATATAGTTACTACATAATCACAGTGGCGTTTGAAGAGAAATCAAGGAAATGGAACAAAATTAAATCCATTTCAACCAAAAGGAGGAAAAAACCCAACTAGATTACTAGTTGCTTGTCAACTCTGAATTTATAGCTACAGTTACAAGTTATCAGTAATCAAAGTAGAATGTGAAAGGACATGCATAAAAACAGTCTAGGAAATTAAATACTGTATCTCAAGGGGGAAACTATCTAAACGTTACACCTTAAAATTAAAATTCAGCCCACATTTCAAAAGCAGAACCACAGAACACAGTTGAAAATGACCTCAGAATCCAACTAGCCTAATCTACAACTAAACAAAAATCATTTCTAAAACATCCCCTATAGGTTGTTACTTAGCCTACAAATGAAAGTTTCATTTAAGTTGAAGCCAGAGTAAGAAAGCCTGACTTCAAATCCTGTATAGGACACTCTCTAGAAGTACAACCATGGGTAAGTCATTTAACCTCTCAGCCACAGTTTCCTAATCTGAAAATAGGAATAATATTGGCATCACCAACACCTTTGAGTTGTTATGAGAAAAGGATTTTCTGTATCTTTTAAAATACTACACAAAATGTGAGTTTTTAAAGTTTACAAAGCACTTTGCATACATTAATTCATTTGACCCTCACAACAACCTTGTGAAGCAGTTACTGTTTTTATTCTCATTTTACCAATAAGGAAACTGAGACTCAGAGGGGTGAAGTAACTTGTTTAAGGTCACACAGCTACTAAGTGCTTTTTGAACTCAGAGCTAGCTTTTAAATACAGCACTCTCTGCTGGATTTAAACCACTCAGCTTATCAAGATTTAAATGGAGATTTAACTAATTTTACTCTTCAAAGGTCAATGGCAATAAACACTAAATTAATAATAATAAAATTAAAATATTATAAAAATAATAATAATTATTTTAAATTGTTGTTTGGTAAAGCTGCCTTACATTCAAAGTGAAACAAACAAAAACATTTACACATTTGGAGAATTCATTAATATGACACAGCCCACTTAAGGGATTCCCCCTGGATCACTAAATTCAAACAGCATCTTGGGAACACCAAAATATGGTGATATAAAGGAGACAATTCAGTTCTAGGAAATTATATAAGAGAAAATAAAAGAAATTAAGTTCCAAAATTTTTTTTAAATTAGAAGGTACACTAGAGATTATCTAGTACAATCCCCAAATTTACATGACATCCTTCCTTAGAAGAAAGCAAAAAGCCTTACACATAGTAGGCATATAATCTATGTTAAACTGAAGACTCAAAACACTTCACATACAAATATGTTTTATATCATCTCTTATCTCACACCTATGATAGTCAAGGAGTAGATAAATACCTACAACTTTTAGACAGAAAAACTGAATTTTAAAAATCAATAATGGGGGGCAGCTAAGTGACACAGTGGATAGAGCTTCAGTATTGGAATCAGGAGGACCTGAGTTCAAATTTGACCTCAGACATTTGATACTTACTAGCAGTGTGACTCTGGGCAAGTCACTTAACCCCGATGGCCTCATCAAAAAGAAAAAAAAAAGAATAATAAAATTAAGACCAAAGCTTTAGTCTACTGTTGCTATGGTGTTTCTCTGGATTTTAGATATTTAACTTTAGATATTTAATAATTACTTAATAATTACATATTTAATAGATTTTTCAAAATCTGACTTATGACCATGTATTATACTCTGAATTTCAGTCTCAGGAGTTAAAAACGACCACAGATCAATTAGTTCAGGGGTGAGGAACCTTTGACCTCAATGCCACACATGGTTTTCTAGGTCCTCAAGTGTGACCCTTTGACTGAATCCAAATTTCATAGAACAAATCCTTTTATTAAGGGGATTTGTTCTGTGAAATTTGGATTCAAAGGGCCGCAACTTGGGCCTAGAGGGCCACATGTGGCCTCAAGATCACAGGATCCCCACCCCAACACTAGTCTAATCTCCCTTCCAATACAAGAATTACCTCTACAACAAGTCTCCCAGTTTTGACTTGGAATATTTCCTGAAATAGACAGATACTAGTTTATGAAGCTACCCATTCCATTGCTGGAGAGCTCTATTAGAAAATTCTTCTTTGCACTGAACTCATATCTGCTACCCTATGATTTATACTCACTCATCTTAAAATTTTGTTTTCTGGCATTACAGCCACCCAATACACTAGCTATACTTCCTACCACTGTGTCATTACGTATTTGACAAATATGTTTTCCAGTGAACAGAGCTACAATTTTTCTTTTAAATCCTAGCCACTGTGAGCTGAGAGCTTCTCTGGGCTGAGTTAGGGCTGCTTTACCTAGCTCCCACTGCCATATGGATCTGCATTGAATCCCTTGGATTGAGAATTTTTATGGACTAATAAATAGCCACTTTCTACCTGAATTTGTAGTCTTGTTATCTAAAAGTGAGATTTATTTCATTGGGGCATAATGCTGTTGGAGTTGGAAAGACAGGGTTTTTTCCCAATTCCTCTTGTCTTGGGCTCAGAGACTTGACCCTGTCTCATAGGCTTAGAGGCCAAAATATTAGTTTGTATCATTTGCACCTGCAACTACTGCCCATCTCTAGTTCTGTTTTCTCATCATTCTGATCCATGACAAATGACTGAAACTCTCAACAGTGCAGCTTTCACCAGAAATACTCCCCCCTTCACAGAAAAAGAGGTTCATGTGGAACTAATATTTCTTGAGTATCTCTTTTACAACCTACCATTTAAAAGTGTACAGATTGTACAACTTGCGCTTGATTTCCCCCCCTAACTTGTAACCTTCTTGAATAAGAACATTTGCAAAATGAAAACATTCTTTTTAAAAGGAAAATATGTTATCAAACCTGTTACTAATTCTGAAACCTGACTGGCTACTTTTTCCAACATATTGTTAAGTAATATTAAAATCAGGTCTTTTAAAAAAACTAAGGGAAAAAAATATAAAGGAAGGAGATTCAGGAGTACCAGATCTTAAACTATATTATGAGAGCACTGTTGAAGTGTAAAATGGATAATTTCAATTACTTTAAAATTTTCTTGTATAAATAAAATCAATGCAGCCAAGATGCAGCCAAGGAAAGCAGAAAATTAGGAATAAAAACTTTCATAGACAATCTCTCAGATAACAATATGATTGTGATAGAATACTGCAGTGATATAAGAAATGATGAGCTGGTTGATTTAGAAAAATATGGAAAGACTTGGACATATGAAGGAAGATGCTATCTACTTTCAGAGAAAGACCTGACAAATAGAAATATGCATAGTATAAGTGTGTATATGTGTATGTTTATAATTATGTAGGTATATATTTACTCTTTTTTTTTTGCTTTTTGGTGAGGCAATCCGAGTTAAGTGACTTGCCCATGGTCACACAACTAATAAGTGTAAAGTATCTGTGGTCATATTTGAACTTGGGTCCTCCTGACTCCAAGGCTGCAGCTCTATCCACTGAGCTACCTAGCTGCCCCTATATATTTACACTTAATTGTAGCTTGGGGGGAGGGAGAAAAATAAAATAAAATAAAAAGTACATAGCAGAGAACAACAACACCCAAATTAATAAACACTTAGAAGGAAGCATAGAAAAGATGGGTTGCTTTAATGTGTAGGATTTATTACATAGGTTTTCATGAAATAGAAATGTATTGTTTCATATTGAATGCTCTCTTATATTCTGCTATGTAAATGGAAATGTTTTTTTCTTTTCTCATTTTGTATTTAAGTTTAAAAAATGAATAAAATATAAAAATAAAATAAAGGTGGGATATACATTAGTATGAAAGAAAATATCCAAGTCCAACATAAAATCCAACATAAAAATGTTAAGCAGTAGAGGGCTGATGTCAATATACAAATCTTTACATTTCTGTATCACTCATAGTCCTTATCAGAGGACCGGGAGCATAGTAGCACATCACTAAATACATGATTATTCATATTGCAAAACATACAAATAGAGTTTCTTCACCCTTGGGAAAAAAAGTTTTGATTTTTTAAAAATTTCATGGAATATAAGAAACATGTTTAAAAATTGAGGCAAGAAATTAAACACTGAGTTTCAATATTTACCTTTCATGCTGACATACACAACTGCTGATACAACACAAATTATAACAGCCAGAAGAATAATGAGTACAATCAGATAGCTGTTCAACAAAGCTCCCCCAACACAATTAAGCTTTCCTTTCTGTTTAAGATACAAAACAAGAATTCCAATCCACCTGCAAGGAAACAACAGAAGATGCAGAAAAAATGAATTAGTACATCTCATTTTATTTTGGAAAATGAAGCAATAGAGCTGCTCTGTATTAAAAAGTACATAAATGAAGCAAATGAGGAGTTTATCAATACCATATTTGTCAGAATTTATTCAAAACAAACCAAGGGTAACTTAAGAGTTTTTATTAATAACAAATAGGTGAGAAACATTATTCTTATTTTCCCTTTTAAAATTAGCTTTACTTTGTCAATTCTTACATAATTGTCCTTATGTAATAAAACAATTGACTGTAAAAGAGCCCCTAACAAAACTAACTTTACATAGTTAAGTACTAACATTTAAACAATGCTTTAAGGTTTGTAGGGCATTTTACATCATCTTTGCACTAACACTACCTTTTTATTTTGATGATTTTTTTTGTCATTTTCATTTCAAATACTAATCCCTAAAATTCTACTAACCAACAAGTAACAATGATCAAGGAATTTAGTGCTGTAACACTAGCTATATATATTATCTTATTTGATCCTTACAACAGCCCTGTAACACATGTATTTCAAAGTTTCATTTGCTCCATTTTGCAGATTAAAAAAACCAAGGCTCTGAAAGCAATTTGTCCAAAGTTACATGACCAAAGAGGCAAAGCACCATGATGTGATAAAAGGCTGACAATTTAGGTTCAAAGGTCAACTCTGGCACTTCACCTCTATGGGCCTTAGTTCCTTCATCTACAAAGTGAAGAGACTGAATTAGATGCTTTTTAATGTCCCTTCTAGTTCTAAGTTTCTAAGAGTCTAACTGGACTCAAAGCCAGGTCTTCTGACTCCAAGGTCAGAGTACCTTTTAGAAAAAGGTAGCAAGGTTGGTAATAAAAAGAGAAAATTAATCTTTGAACAACCAAGAATCCAGGAATTTTTAAAAATGCAACATTTACAGTTTTTCTTGGTATTTTACTTTAGTATAATGAAAGTTTTATTTTCCTGTATTTCCATTATCCAGGTATATAGAACAAATCTCAAGGACCAAATGGCTTTTCCGTAGCTGTTCAAATATTTGTCCCTCAATGTAAGAAACCAAATAACAATAATTTATTCAATGCTTTCAAAAGGCAAAAAAATATTCTAAGTCTTTTTTGAATCTCATTGGGTTTTAAGTAAAATATATTACTAGGGTGAAAAATAATTCAACGGTAGCTTAAGTATGGCGTGAACACACTTTTCAGCATTCATTTTGTCAGTACTTCAGTTTTTATTTACCATCTATCTAGTAACTAGAGAATTTAAGTTGCAAACTAATTAAAGTAAGTGTAGGCTATTTGGACAGAACAATCTTAAAAAAAAGATACAAAAAAAAGTTCCAACCTTACAGCTGCACTGCAGTGGAAGTAACTGTGTAACTGAATGTAAGTCATTTGGATACATTTTAAATAAAAGTAACCAAAAAATTCCAGTTTTATATCTCAAGTATTCTTTCCCTTAGCAGCAAAAATTCAGACATCTGAAGTTAAGCATCAGAAATTAAAAAATAAAATAAACTATTGCATTATCAGATGTAGAGATTACATAGCAACAGGAATACTGGTTTTGCTAAACTCTGAAACTAATATGGTGAAGTGCTGGAAAGAACACTGGAATGGGGGTGGCTTATAGTGGTAGTTCTGCCAATAACTAGCTGAACCACCTTGGATAGGTCACTACCATTCTCTAAACCTCAATCTCCTCATTCATAAAAGAGGGATTCTCCTCTAAAGTCCCTTCTAACTCCAGAATTCTGATATTTTTTGGCAGTAGTCTCTAGCTGAGGAAAGACTGTAATTCCCAAGGCAGTGTGAAAAAGGTCTCACCTCCAGAGCTGTAGCGTTTTCTTACTCTGCTCTCTAGTGCCTTCAACATACTGGATTATTATTGAGCAGCAACCAACTTATCTACCCCAAGTCTAAAATAAGCCACTTCCCTGGGGAACAGAGAGAGCAGGACTAGGGAATAAAGTGCTGGATTTGGACTAAGACTGACCTAGGTTCAGCTATGTATTAAGTGATATGGTACAATAGGAACGGTGCAGGAGGCAGAGGCAAGATGGAGAGTAAAGTGTCTGAGCTCTCCCCAAATCCCTCCAAATACCTTTAAATAATGACTCTAAACAAATTCTAGAGCAGCAGAACCCACAAAGAGACACAGAGAAACAAATTTCCAGACCAAGACAACATAGAAGGTCAGCAAGAAAGGTCTGTTGCAAAGGCCGAGCCAATGCAGACTGGGCCCTGTCAAACCAGGAACAAGCATCAGACCACTGAATCAGTGGTAGCAGTGGCTGTTTCCAAACCTCTCAGCCCACAGATGGTAAAGGGATAACACAACAGGTCAAAAGGAGATTTACAGGGCACAGCTAGGAGGCACAGTGGATAGAGCACTGGCCCTGGAGTCAGGAAGACCTGAGTTCAAATCTGGCCTCAAACACATAATACTCACTAGCTCTGTGACCCTAGGCAAGTCACTTAACCCCAAATGCCTCACAAAAAAAGAAAAGAGATTTATTCAGGGGGAGGAAGAGTCCCTTTGCTGGCACCAGAGGCAGGACTCTGTTGTATTGCCTAGACTCGGGTCCAGGTCGCAGTCCTGGGTGGTAGTCCCAGTGTGAGGAGTACTAGCATAGCAGAGCTTGCAGTCACAATAGAGCAGGAACCCTGGTCACAGTTACAGGGTTGAAAAGAGCTCACAGTACAGAAGAGTAATAAACCCATCTCTTCCTAGATCAGGCCTGTACAACTTACAGATTTCCTCTACATTTTTCATGGGCCTCCCAAAATTGGCATGCCATAAGCAGCCCATGAGCACAAGTTGCACAAGGCCACCTTGGAAAAGTCAAAAACTTACAAGTCCCCAGAATTGCCTCTGAAAACAGCTGCACAAAAAATGTGAAGCTTGGGACAGTGTTCCCACCACTTGGGAAGCAGAGCCCCACTTTAACATAGAGTTAAAAGCCAAGAAGTAGGCTGGAAAATGAGCAAACAACAGGAAACAAATTTTAACCACAGAAAGTTACTATGGTGACAAGGAAGATCAAAACACACTCAGAAGAAGACAACAAAGTCAAAATTCCTGCATCCAATGCCTCAAAGAAAAACATGAATTGTTTTCAGGCCACAGAAGAGCTCAAAAAGGATCTTAAAAATCAAGTAAGAGAGGCAGAGGAAAAATTGGAAAGAGAAATGAGAGTGATGTGAGAAAACCATGAAAAAAGAGTCAACAGCTTGGTAAAGGAGGCACAAAAAAATACTGAAGAAAATAATACCTTAAAAAACAGAATAGGCCAAATGGAAAAAGATATACAAAAATTCATTGAAGAGAAGAACTCCTCAAAAAGTAGAATTGGCCAAATGGAAAAAGAAGTACAAAAGTTCACTGAAGGGAACTCCTTAAAAGTTAGAACTGGTAAGTGGAAGCTAATGACTTTATGAGACTTCAAGAAATAATCAAAATCAAAAGAATGAAAAATATTAGAAAACATGAAATATCTCAGAAAAATAACTGACCTGGAAAACAGATTCAGAAGAGATAATTTAAGAATTATTGTACTACCTGAAAGCCAGGATCAAAGAAAGAGCCTTGACATCATCTTTCAAGAAATCATCAAAGAAAACTGCCCTCATATTCTAGAACCAGAGGTTTTACATTTCTATTTTTACCTAGAAATTGAAAGAATCTACCACTCATCTCCTGAAAGAGATCCCAAAGGAAAACTCCCAGATATATTACAGCCAAATTCCAGACCTCCCAGATCAAAGAGAAAATACTGCAAGCAGCCAAAAAGAAACAATTTGAATATCAAGGAGCTACAGTCAGGATAACACAAGATTCAGCAGCTTCTATATTAAAGGATCAGAAATCTTGGAATATGATATTTTGGAGGGCAAAAGAACTAAGATTACAACCAAGAATCACCTACCCAGCAAAATTGAGTATAATACTTCAGGGGAAAAAATAGACATTCAATGAAATAAAGGACTTTCAAACATTCTTGATGAAAAGAGCTGAATAAAAAATTTGATTTTCAAAAGCAAGATGCAAAAGAAGCATAAAAAGGCAAACAGGAAAGAGAAATCATAAGGGATTCAATAAGGTTAATCTGTTCATATTCCTATATGGGAAAATGATATTTATAACTTCTAAAAACTTCCTCATTATTAGGCAGTTAGAAGGAGTACACATAGAAAGCAGAGCTGTGAGTTGAATGTGATGTTATGATTATCTAAAAAAAAAAAATTAAAGGATGAGAAAAAAGACTGCACTGGGAGAAGGGGACAGAGAGGTGCAACGGAATAAATTATCTGACAGAAAATAGGCCTGAAAGGGATTTTATAGTGGAGGGGGAAATGGGGGAAACAGGGAGGGGAGCACATGAACCTTACTCTCATCACAATCGGCTCAAAGAGGGAATATCATACACATTCAATTGGGTGTAGAAATCTATCTTACCATACAGGAAAGTAGGAAGGAAAGAGGATGGGGGTGGGGTGATGGGGAGGGCAGTTTGGGAGAGACGAAAGTCAGAAGCAAAACACTTTTGAGAATGGACAGGGTAAAAGGAGAGAGAGAGTAGGAGAAACAAGGTAGAAACAGGATGAAGAGAAATACATAGTTGGCAATCATTACTGTGAAAAAAAATTTTCAGTGAGTTTCTCTGATAAAGACTTCATTTCTCAAACATACAGAAAACTGAGTCAAATTTATAGAAATAAGAGCCATTCCTCAATCGATACATGGTCAAAGGATATGAAGAGGCAGTTTTCAGACAAAATAATCAATGGTATTTACAGTCATATAAAAAATGCTCTAAATCACTATTGACGAGAGAAATTCAAATTAAAACAGCTCTGAGCTACTGTCTCACACCTATCAGACTAATATGACAGAAAGGAAAATGACAAATATTGGAGGGGATGTGGGAAAATTAAAGCACTAATGTAGTACTGGTGAAGTTGTACACTGATTCAACCACTCTGGAGAGCAATTTGGAACTATGGCCAAAGGGCTATAAAATTGTGATTTAATCCAGCAATACCACTACTAGGTCTGTATCCCAAGGAGATCATAAAATGGGGAAAAGGACCCACATGCACAAAAATATTTATAGCTCTTTCTGCGGTGACAAAGAATTGGAAATTGAGGGGATGCCCATCAATTGGGGAATGGCTAAACAAGCTGTGGTATCTTAATGTAATGGAATACCATTGCACAATAAGAAATGATGAGCAGGCAGATTTCAGAAAAAACTGGAAAGCCTTGTCCAAACCGATGCAAAGTAAGGTGAGCAGAACCAGGAGAACACTGTACACAAGTTACATTTCTCTTCTTAGCAATATAATAATCCAAGACAATTTCAAAAGACTCATGATGGAAAATGTTATCCACATCTAGAGAAAACTATGGAGTCTGAATGCAGATTGAAGCATACTATTCGCTCTTTTTTGTTGTTGTGGTTTCTTATTTCTCATGGTTCCTCCCATTGATTCTAATTCTTCTTTACAACTTGACTAATATGGAAATGATTAATATGATTGTACATGTATTACCTGTGTCAAATTGCTTGTTGTCCTGGGGAGGGAGAAGGGGAGGGAGTGAAGGAGAAAAATTTGGAACTCAAAATCTTATAAAAGTAAAAGCTGAAAACTATCTTAACATGTAACTGGAAAAAAATAAAATACTATTATGTGGGGGAAAAAAGAAGTGATGTGCAGGATGCTCTCAGAAAAACATGGAAAGACTTACATGAACTGATGCAAAGTGAAATGAGCTAGAACCAGGAGAACATTGTACACAGTAACAGCAGTATTGTATGATGATCACTATGAATAACTTAGCTATTCTCAGCAATATAATGATCCAAGACAATTCTGTAGGACTTATGATGAAAGGTGCTGTCCATCTCCAAAGAAAGAATTGGTAGAGCCTGAATGAAGATCAAAGATACTTTTTCTTTACTTTATTTTTCTTGAGTTTTTTTTGTCTGTGTTTTCTTTCACAAAATGACTTACGTGGAAATATGTTTTGCATGACTATACATGTATAACCTAGGTCAAACTGCTTGCCTCCTCGATGGGGGAGGGGAGGGAGAGAATCTGGAACTCCAATTTTTAGTTTTTTGGGGTTTTTTTTGCTCAGGCAGTTGGGGTTAAGTCACACAGCTAGTAAGAGTCAAGTGTTTGGTCTGAAGCCAAATCTGAACTCAGGTCCTCCTGACTTCAGGGCCAGTGCTCTATCTACTGCGCCACCTAACTGCCCCTGGAACTCAAATTTTGAAAAATAAAATGTTAAAATTGTTCTTATGTGTAATTGGGGAAAAATATTAAATGAGGAAAAAAAAAGTAATGGTGCAAGATTTGCCATCAAAGGCCTTTCCCTAAAAATCCCTGGTCAAGCAAGTCACTTAATATTTGAGTTTCAGTTGAATGAGAGGGTGAACAAGATAAACATCTGAAGTCCCATATACTTTAAATCTATGATTCAGAGCCAAGCTCCTCATCTGTAAAATGGGGATAACAATACCAGTAGTACCTGTCTCACTAAACTGCTGAGGAGTAAATAAATAATCACAGGATCATATAAGACATAAAAAGAGGCAAAAGACAGTCCTTGCCCTCAAGGAGCTAACACTTTGTATATCCTGTCTTAGGTTCCTAAAGTGAGAGATACCACCCCCAGGGGGGCACTGGACAGATCCTCTGGTGCAACTGGGGGGTACTGAATAAAAAACAAAGGGGGTGGTAGAAATATAAGGAAAGAAGAAAATTTTGAAATATCATTTGTACATGTTTCATCTGTTGTATAACAGAGTTAAAGTCATAGTGATTACATTATTTTCTAAATAAACACACAAAATGCAAGTTATAACTGATCAGTGGTCAAGTAAGCCCAAAATTGCCGATCAAGTGTTGGCAGGCCAGTACAGAGCCTTGCTGGGAAGTCCAGCATGCACTGGCAAGAATATGTGCATGTAATAACTTGTTTACAATATGATACTATATGGTTACATACAGCAATATTGTGTCATCAAAATTTCAATGCAGGATAAAACCCACAAATTTACAATAAATTAAATTTAAGATGAATCACTTTTTTAAAAAATGTATATATTTTTGAAATTATGCAAATTTTAAAAAAAAATTAAAGGGTTAAAGAAAGTAGATTTCCAGAGGGGTACTGAGTAATTTTTTTTTAAAGGAGCCGGTAAGCCAAATAAATTTTGGAACCTTTGCTGTAGATGCAAAGTTTCTGCATGTCTTCTGAATTCCTTAAAGACAACTCAAATTCCACTTTTTGCAAGAGACCTATCCCAGTGTACCTACCCACCCCATCACTTTCCTTATACATGTGTATATTTGTAAGTACATAGTTGTGTATGTGCTGTCTCCTGGCTTTCTTCAAGACTTAAATCCCACTTTCTGCAAGAAATGGTCCCTCCTCCCTCTCTTGCTCTTCTGAGATCACCTCCATTTATACTACATATCATTTTTGTGCATTTTTGTGTCTTGGTGGCCTTCTGACTTCCTGAAAGACTCAACTCAAATCTCACCTTTTGCAAGAGGCCTGTTCCCATATTACCCACTGCTAGTGCCAAACAAATTAACAAATCAACTAGCATTTATTAAGCACCTACTATATATAGTTGGAGCTTAATCTCACACACACCCCTAGCATTGTGCTAAATCCAGGGTTTACAAAAAAAAAAATTGAAAACAGCTCCTGAACCTTTATGAGCTCATAATTGGAGATTAAGGGACCAGTTTTTACCTGGTATGTACATGTTCATATTCAACCCCACTCTTCGTGACACCATTTGGGGTTTTCTTGACAAAAAGACTACTCATTTTACAGATGAGGAAACTGAAGAAAACAGGATTAAGTGAGTTGTCAGAGGTCACACAGCTAATAAGTGCCTGAGGCCGAATTTGAACTCAGGTCTGCCTGACTCTAGGTCTGGCACTCCCCTCTACCACCTACCTGCCCCACGTACACATAGTTGCTAGCATGTTGTCTCCACCATTAGAATTTGAGTTCCTGGGGAGCAGGAGCTATTTTTCATTTTCTTTGGTAGCCCCATTGCTTAGCACTGTGCCCGGCACAGAGCAGATGCTTAAGAAATGGTTGTTGATTGATTATTAATTGATTAAAGGGAGATAATCTCAGGAGGAAGGCACCAGCAGTTAGGGGAAGGGGTAAAGGGAGCCCGGGAAAGACTTCTTGCAGAAAGTGGAATTTAATTTAAGTCTTGAAGAAGCCAGGAGACAACAGGAACACAATCATGCACTTAAAATAAACAAGCTATATTATAAGGAAGGTGATGGGGTGGCAAGGTACACTAGAAAAGGTCCCTTGCAAAAGGTGGGATATGAGTTGTCTTGAAGACTGGGACTGTCTTCTGCCACACGACAGAAGTTTAATAAATAAATGTTTATTGATTGGCTGATCACTGATTGCTTAAAGGGAGGTAATCTCAGAAGGAAGGAATGAGGGATGAAGGGAGACTGAGAAAGGCTTCTTAGAGAAAGTGGAATTTAAGCTGTCTCGAAGGATGCCAGAAGGCAGGGATGAGGAAGAAGAGCATTCCAGGCATGGAGCACAAGCACAGAAAAGGCACATCGAGTCCAGAAATGGCTCATAGATTTAAGAGATAGAAGGAATCTTATTGGTCACCTAGGTGGATGAGGAAACTCGAATTCAGAGAAGTTAATCGAATACCTCGATGTCACCAAGGGCAATAAAATGGCAGGAGGCACATTCGAACCCAGGTTTCCTCCCCACTCCCCCCTCCACTTCAAATCCAGGGTTCTATGCTCCCGAAGCCTTTAAAGAACAATAACAAGAAGATGGGCTGCTTCTCTCTCCAGGTACAAACAAGAACTCTTCAATCACAATCACAATCTTTGGCCTGCGAACCAGCTCTGGGTCAGACCCTCAGGCTGGGAGGGGCGGGAAGAGTCCAGGAAGGAAAGAGAAAGGGGAGGAGGGAATTTCCTCCTCCCTTCGGCCCAGGGAGGTAAATGAGAGGGGCGGGGGGATAAGGAGGGTGATGGTCGGAGGAAGAAGAGAGGAATTCCACCCCCTTTCCTTAATGGGGAAGGGATTAATGGGGGGGAAAGGTGAGGAGGGGTGATTTAAGGAGGGAGAGAGAAAGAAGGGAGGGGAGGAAGGAAGCCCCCTTTCCCCACTTGCCCTGGGGAGGAGGTAAAATGGGTAGGGGGAGAGGAGATGGACAAGATTGGGCGGGGAGGGGGAGGAGGAAGAGGAGTGGTTTAAGTAGGAGAAGGAGAGAACGTAGCTGGAAGAAGGGAGGGGAAAGATAATCCCCCTTCCTCCCAGGGGCGGGGGGGAGGAGAGGGGTGGGCCGCAGAAAGGGGAAGGGGAGGGGGAGGAGGAGGAGGAGAAGGAGATTCCTTGGTCCCTGCGGCCACGGGGAAGGGACGTCGGGCGGGCGCAATCACAAGCCCGGACCGCGGCACTCACCAGGCCACCCGAAAGAACAGCTCGAAGGCGCCCGGGAAGACCAGGTCGTCGCTGGCTATGGCCCAGCGCCGGCCGAACAGCACCATGCCCGGCATTATGGGAGCGCGCCGAGGGCCGCCCCGGCTCCCCACCCAACAGCCGCCGCCGTCGCCTGCCCCTCCTGCCTGCTCGTTTCCCCGCGCTTCTTGCGCACGCCCACAAGCCCGGAAGCCGCTCCCGCCCGACTTCCGGATCCACCGGCTCTCCCGGAGTTCCGAGGGATAGAGATCCGGGACCTGGATGACCCCCGCCGCGCATGCTCCCTGGCTCATTTACTCGCGTTTCCCCCCACACCCCGGTCCATGCGCCCACACGTGATGTTCTGCTACACAAGGCTATGGGAAGACCGAGGTCTCCCACCTGTGTTACTATTATTAGTCAAAGCCTGGGGTCTCTCTCTTTTATACCTCTATGGGGCCTGCGGCTTAGCATAGGCACACAGTAAGCACTTGATATAAATGATGCTTGACTTGATTTGATCGTTGCTCCTGTTCGTCACTCCACATCTAACAACAGTTTTCTGTAGTCTCTATAAAGCACATCCAGGACTCCACTCCTGATCTAGAGCTTGGAGCCTCTTGGTAAAGCTCCTTAGAGCCCAGAGCAATCTAATTACTTTCTTAGGTGATATAGTGGATAGAGTGCTGGATTTGAAATCATAAAGACACAAATTTGAGTTGTGTTTCAAACAGTTACTACATTTGTGACAAAGGGCATCCAAAAAAAACCGAAAACCAAAAAACCCTCAGTGCAAACGTGCATTGTCCACTTCTCTGCAGGTGAGTTGTGTGTTTCATCGTTAGTCTTCTGAATTCGTGTTTATCACTGCAACGAAGTTAGAAAGTCTTTCAGTATAATATTGTCATTGTTTAATTGTTCTCCTAGTTCTGCTCATTTTATTCTGCATCCATTCATAGAGTTCTCAGTTTCCTCTGAAATGGTCCATTTCGTTAGTTCTTATGGAACAATAATATTCCATTATATTCCTATACCATAATTGGCTTAGCCATTTCCAGTAGGAAGAAACTCCCTTAGTTTCTGAATTTTGGGCTGCCACAAAAAGAACCTTAATTATAGGTGTATATAAAGATTTTTTTTCTCTTTCTCAGATTTCTTTTAAGTATAGGCCTAGTAGTCGTATAGTTGGATCAAAGGGCATGCACAATTTAGTAACTTTTGGGGCATAGTTCCAAACTGCTTTCCAAAATGATTTGATCAAATCACAGTTCCACCGACAGTATGTCTGTTTTTCCACAGCCCTTCTAACGTTTCTCATTTTCCTCTTTTTGTCATCTTTGCTATTCTGATAGGTGTAAGGTGGAAACTCAAAGTTGCTGCAATTTGCGTCTCTCTAAATATTAGTGATTTTGAACATTTTTTCATATGGTTGTTGATAGCTTAGATTACTTTCTTTGAAAATTGCCTGTTCAAAAAAATTTGCCTGTACATATCCATCTATTGGGGAATGGCTCTTATAAATTTGAATCTATTTCTTACATATTTTAGATATAACACCTTTATAACTTGCTGCAAAGATTTTTCCCAGTTACCTATTTTTCTTCTAACTTTCACTACTTTGGATTTATTTATACAGAAACTTTTTTATTTTAAATAATCAAAATTGTTTACCTTCTATGATCCTCTTTATTTTTGGATCATGAAATTTCCTCCTATTCATAGGTCTGAAAGATAATTTATGATGTAACCTTTTATATTTAGGTCATATATCCATTTGTAATTTATCTTTGTGCATGTTGTGAGGTGTTGATCTCAACCTAATTTTTGCCAGACAGCTATCTGGTTTTCCCAGCAGTTTTTGTCAAATAGCTATTTCTTCTCCCCAATAACTAGGGTTATTGGGGTTACCAAATGTTAGGCTACTAAGTTGATTTCTGTATGTTTTATCCCTAATCTGTTTTGCTAACTGCCCTCTCTATCTTTTAACTAGTACCAAATTATTTTAATTATTACTATTTTATAGTACAGTTTAATATTTAGTACTGATAGTTTTCCTTCCTTCCCACTTTTTTTGTTTTGTTATTTCCCTTGAGATTCTTGACCTTTTGTTCCTCCATGTGAATTTTGTAATTACTTTTTCTAGGTCTGTAAATTAGGTTCTTTTGCTTGTGTGTATTGTGTCCCTAATCTGTTCTGTTGATACCTTTCTGTTTTTTAACTCTTCATCTTGTGCACCCCTATTATGCAAGTGATTTTTTTTCTCCTTTCTTTCTACAGTATGGTCCCCTAACACTCCTATTTTTATCTCTCCTAAGACCATTAAAACAGTATAAAACAACCCACAGATGCTCTATCATTTTAGCATTTCACTATGACCTTTAAAGATATTAAGGTTCCAAGAAATTGTGTTTTTTGTTTTCTTATTAACTTGTAAACAATTCATCCCTACATTCCCTTTCTATTAAACAAAAAGTGTTCCTTTCTGTGTTTCTCTTGGTGCCTCTATTTCCTTTGCAAACATCTTCTTTGTTCTGGTGATTTTGATCAGGAATGTTTGGAAATCTCAAAGTGTGATCCATGGACCCCTTCCTTCTCAGGGCATCCACAAGGTCAAAACTATTTGTATAATAGTTCTAAGATGTTTAAAGTACTTCTCCTTTTTCCAACTACAAATCTGTGTGAAGATGCATTTTCTTCACATTTCAACCAAAATTACATGTTTTAACAGAAGCACATTTGAAGCTGCCTTCTATTAAGCCAGACATTAAAGAGATTTGAAAAACTACGTACAATGATGCCACTCTTCTCAGTAAATTTTTTTCGTTTTTTTTTTTTTTTGGATGAGGCAATCGGGGTTAAGTGACTGCCCAAGGTCACACAGCTAGTACTCGTTAAGTGTCTGAGGCTGGATTTGAACTCAGGTCCTCCTGACACCAAGGCCAGAGCTCTATTCACTGCACCACCTAGCTGCCCCCTCAGTAAATTTTTGTTCTGGAAAATTTGGAAAATGTTAACATGTAATGGGTTTGTTATTATTATTATTTTTAATGAATTGGCAAATATAAATATTTTAAATTCACCAGTTTTAATTTCCAGTATTATAATTATTGGTAGATATACACAAACTATTGGAGTCCTTCATAATTTTTAAGACTGTAAAGGGGTCCTCAATAATTTTTAAGAGTATAAAAAGCTCTTGAGACCAAAAAGTTTGAGAAGTACTACTCTATTCCAATAAAAGTCTGTTTTTTTCTCCTGTAGGATTATACTTCGTTTATCTGGATAACTTACCTTTGATTGAAAAGCTTTATTCTTGTCTTTGGGAATATTGTATTACAAACACTCTTCTCCTTTATGTGGTAGCTGCTAAGTCTTGTGTGATCTTGTTGTGATTCCTTTAGCCTTGAACTAATTCTTTTTGGCTGCTTGTAGAATTTTTTCTTTGACCTGGAAGCTCTGACATTACTAGTTTTCATTTTGAGGTTTCTTTCCAGAGGTGACTAGTGGATTCTTTCCATTTCCACATTACCATCTTGTTCTAAGAGTTCTGGGTAGTTTTCATTTACTATTTCTTGAAATATGGTATCTCGACTGAATGATCATGGATTTCGATAGTCTGATAATTCTTAGATTGTCTCTGCCTATTTTACAGGTTAGTTGTTTTTGATAGTATATTTCACATATTTTCTTGCTATTATTTAAATTAAATTACTTAAATGATAGCTATTATTTTTTTTCAAAGTTTTTATTTTATTTTCCTATTTCTTGTCATATTGAGTCATTTTCTTTCTGGCCCACTCTGTTTTCAGAGCATTAAGTTCTTTGGTGAGGCTTTTCACCCTCTGTTCTAAGATGTGAATTTCCCTTATCATTCTTTTCTCCCTAGCTTTTCCATTCTGTATCTCTTGTTTAATTTTTTCCAAGTATTCCTATGGTTTGTAGGGCCAGAACATTTTGTTTTTCTTCAGGGCTTTACCTGGACTTGTTTTGGGGTAACTGTATTCAGGGTTCATCCCCTAGGTGCCTGTCAAACCAGGGTATTTGCACATAATATTCAAGTTTTCCTTGGTTTGCTCATCTCATCTACCTTATTTTGGGGGTAGGGTGGGGGAGTTTATTTGGTCAATATTTACAATTGAATAGATGTGGAGGGCCTGCCTTGTCTTGAGTATAGTAGTCTCCCCTAGAGGAACTTTGGGGCTGCTCAGGTGCTAGGTTCTAGCTGGGGGATCCCTCTTGCCAAGGGGCTGTGGGCTCTACCTAGTATCCTTTCTCTACTATTGCTGGGAACCATGCAGATTTCCTGCCTCAGATTTCAGTGACTGTTCTGGCTGAATTTTGCCTAGTGCCTTTTTTTTTTTCAAGTAGGGCTTGAGTGTTATCCTAGACAACAAATACACAGAGGCTACTTGAGCCATGAGAGTGGAAAGGCTCAGATCAGGAATAGTAGGCCCCCTAGAGGCCTCTCTGAGTTCTGCCCACCCTAGTTTGTCTATCCTAGGGTCTCCACAGAATTTCGGAGATCCTTCTGTGGATTCGGTGGAGGTAGGTTTTTTTTCCATTTTTAAGTCCTGGTGGGATGGTTGCAGGGAACTTCAGCGTCTCTATTCTAGAATATCACTATATTCCTATAATTTTGGATGGTCTTTTGAAAGCTAGCTTACTAGCTCTAAAAAAGAATAAATGCAGTGAAACTTTATAGAGGGTAACCCCTGGAAATCTAGAAGAGAATCATCTCATTCCCTTCATGCTTAAACTAGAGTGCAACAGAGGGTGTGAGGATTTCTTTCTTCTTCCTCTTTCGTCATCGTTGTCATCATCAGTATGACACTTTGCAGCAGTTACTGGTCCAGGAGGAAGATATTGCATGTATCAGGGAGCAGGGCCAGAGAATCAAAGACAGTCAGTAAAGATGGCTCCAAGGACCTTGCAGCAAAAGCATAGGGCAAACTATGGATTCAAAAGAAAAGTACCCTAACGTTGCAAGTCAAACTATGGAGAGGAGGGGAACCAGGGAGACCAGCTGAATGACTTGGCCCGCAGAGACGCTGGGGCAGCTAGGTGGCACAATACATAGAGTGTTGGGCCTGGAGTCAGGAAGACTCATCTTTCTGAGTTCATATTTGACTTCAGACACTTACTATGTGACCATGGGTAAGTCATTAACCCTGTTTGTCTCAGTTTCCTTATGTATAAAATGAGCTGGAGAAGGAGATGGAAAACTAGACCAGCATCTTTTCTAAGAAAACCCAAATGGGATATGAAGACTCAGACACAACTAAACAACCACAACAAAAACAGAGAT